CTGGCTGCTTTCCCGTTACAATGGGAGACTTGAGTAGCTGCCATGCAAAGTCTAAAATGTGTGCTATTGGTTCTTTATGGAAAAAGTTTGCTGACCACTGCCATAGCACAGGGAGGATAGCCCTGGTTAGTGATTAATAAAAACTATGAGATGGGTTGGAGCACAGAAAACTTATCCATTCACACATGGGAATTATTGACTTTCATTTCATGACAAAGCGCATTGACATACACTTAGCTCCTGCTGAAATTAAGAGTAAGTCTAAAATTAGTGTCTTAATAATTATTTACCCTAATGTCAGTGAAATAAGTTTTTAGGGCAGTGGTTGCATAGGGTATATTCCCAAACCTGGTGCTCCTCTTTAATTATTGTTTAACCTATTTTAAAACACCTGGTGCAGAAAGGGAAAAGTGATTTAAATATTATCTGTTTAATTTGCTAACCTTCCTATGCCCTTTTGGAAACAGCTTGTTCAAAGTCCATGGAGATTTGGATACTCAGAATAACCCTCTGTATCACTTTTCTAAACTGAATTTCACTACATGCAATTTGGGCTTCTCCGAAATGAGCAACCACAGGGGTTTGAAAATTCTAACACAGATTTATAATGAAATGAAAAAAAGATTGGACACTGTCCAGAAACATGTGATGGTACTCAAAGCAGAATGACATTTGCTCAGCAAAGCTCCTGAAGCGTTACATCCCTTAGTTCTTTTCAACGTGAAATTTGTTTTCTTGTAAGCAGATTACCTTCATAGACAATGCAGGGACAGCATTTTGTATCATTGAATTATATCAGCCAAGCTTCTAAATTTTATGATGATTTTGTTTATAAATCCACTGCAACTGTATTTTATTTTGGGAACCCTAATATGTAACACTATGGCACTGAGTTCTGTTCACTCAGAACCCTACCTCTGTTTAGAGAACACTTCTTTAAGGGCTATCTGTTGTTCTTTTACGATTATTCTTGCTGAGGAAAATAGGTGTACACATCCAGAAAAATATTAGAATGTTCAAGTGTGTGTGTGTGTGTGTGTGCGCACACACACACACACAGATCAAAACATGCCTTCCTCTCTAATATTCTTAAATGCCTCATTATTAGGCATTCCCCAAATTCGGGATGAGATTTACTGGATTAGAAAAATTAAACTGTGGTGATAAATTGTTACTTGCATTTTCATGCAAAAACTTTATAGTGTGTACTCTGGTATTAAAACATTATTGTCTCTGTATTTTGAGAAAGGAAGCAGACATATAAAAGGGCTTTCTTATTTTGTTTATAATAATGACTTTTATTCTGAACAGTTTATTACTTTGAAAATACAACAAAACTTGCTGGCCTAAAAATAATTCCATCAAGTTACCTTTCCATTCCCTTCGAATCAGATGGTAGAATATTAATAAATCTTCCTGAAGTTGATCTACTGTTTAAGCAAACAGGAGAAAAGAAGGACATTTAGAACTCGGCCTGGCTAGACTCAGCCAGATGAGATCAAGCCAGATGGCATGGATTAAGAAAAAGGACAGAATCCAAAGTGGGAATGTAGAAGAGACTCTGGGATATCCGGGAAAGATTCATTTTGTAATGTGGCAAGACAGAGAGTGCTAGAGTTTGCATCTGGAAATGTTCTTCAAGAGTCCATGTTTTAAAAGCTTAGTTCCTAGCTTGGCATTATTGGGAGGGTATGAAGTTTAAGTGATGGAGTCTAGTGGGAAGTTATAGGTCAGTACAGATGTTCCCTTGAAGGGGATTGTGGGACCATGGTCTTGTCTTTCTCTTTCTGATTCCTGGATGCCATGAGGTGACTAGCTTGCTTCACTATGTGCTCCCTGTCATGATGTATAGCTTCACCACAGAGCCAAGAGACTGTGGACCAGAGCCTCCAAGCTGTGAGCCAAATGAACCTTTTGTCCTCATAAGTTGATTACCTTAAGAATTTGTTAGAGTAATGAAAAGCTGACTAACTCAGAGAGGAAGGAAAACTTTCACTTTAACTAGCAACCTGGATGGGAAATGAGTTACCAAAAGCATTAGGATAGTTAAGATTCATTTTGTAAAATCAGAATGGAGTTTGCTTTGTATTTCAGAGTTTCTCTGTTGAAAACTTTATACTACTCCATATATTCGAAGTGTGGAAATGCATCTGTTGAGAGGAAGGTGTTCGTCATGGTGATAGTTCTTTGCATCTTACTGTAATGGACTGAAGCTATTTATGGCCTCATTGGGAGTTTATGTTATCTTCTGTAGACATTCTGGTTCTACTTTTGGTTTGCTACAGACTTCTAGAATCCTCTGTTTATGGTGGATATTGACGTTTTGGACATAACAAGTAAGAGTGAAAGCATTCTTATTCTGATGATCTTATCTATGGTCCATAGTTATCTGTGTTTTTCATATACAAAATTTTTTGACCTGCCCTCAGTACTCTTATAAGCCTTCCTTTTTTTTTTTTTTTTTTTTTTTACAAGTTGGTGTTATGGCACTGACAAACTTCAGTGTATTATGGTGATATACAGGGGGATACTGGAAGGAAAGTCATCATTGCCATGAACCAACATGGTCTGTGTGCAGTGATGCAAGGATTAGTTTGTGGAGTTGAACACTGACAATCAAGACAGAAATCATTTTGCTCATAGGATGTTAAAAAGTGTTTTACTCATTGGTACATAGCTGACACATCTCCATTTGTCTAGCCTTTCACATATATGATGAGAAATTTCTTAAAAAGTGTGTATCAAAATCAGCTGATATTCAAGAGGATTTCTCTGAGGTAGTGGTTGAAAGGTTGAAAAAGTCAGAAATAAGTATGGATGGCCAGAATATATAATGTGTACAACAGCAGACTGACAGGTACATTTATATGGGAAAATTCACTGAGATCTAAAGAGCTGATAGAGCTTCCACGTTAGACTGAAAATTCCCTGTGTGCAGGATTGCTGTTTTGAATATATATACATATATATATGTATATATATATATTTTCCCCTACACACTCCTTAGCTCATACGTAAATCTTAGGCAATGTTTGTTGAAATAAAGTCTAAAAGAACCTAGGATTTTTTTTTTTATCTTAAGATGATTATCTTTTCCAAATACCTGTTAAATAACTAAGATTAAAAGTAATATGATGTTCTTTAATTAAAACAAACAGTGTTTATTTTATTTAGTATATAACTGGCTTCAATATCTCAGAGAGTTAATGTTTTAAAATAAAACTAACCCTTACTTGTCTGAGTTGGAGATATTGATATTTTTGCATAAAATTGGAATATATTGGTTTTCTATTGTTGCATAGCAATATGACCACAAGCTTAGCTTTAAACAAAGTATACTTCTTAACTCAGCCTCATAATAATAATTTCACAAAGTGCAGTCCAGGTGTTGGTCAGGCTGGGGCCTCACTTCAAGGCTTGATGGAGAAAGGATCTATTTCCAAGCTCATGAGGTTCTTCATAAAATTAATTTTCTTTTTTGTTGGCTTCAATATCTGCTAGCTGTCAGTTGGAGGCAGTCCTTAGCTCCTCACTGGTTGGAGGCTGCTCTAAATGCCTTTGTCATGTGGGCCTCCCCAAAGCTGCTGAATGCTTCATCAAAGCCAGCAAGGGAGATGCAGCTCACAATTCTAAGTAACCTAATTATGGAAATGACATCCTATCACCCTGCTCTATTGGTTGTTCTGTTGGTTAAAATCAACTCATAGGGTTCCACCACAATACAATTGCTATTAATGGTTTGGTTATGCAGAAGACCATTTATTGAGTAAAGCTTTGATTTGGGTTTCCTTCAGGAAAGCTATCATGGTCAGTTCTTTAACACTTTATCTGTGGTATTTTATTATATTAAATAGGCTCACACTGTTGTTTTTATGGTACAAATGTATAAATTAAGTCACACACTTAGATATAGTGAGTCAGAAGGCAAATTTCTAGACACTATAAGAGATGATCACTTTCCTTTCCACTGAACCATGCTTAATTTTTTCCCTTGAAATTGATTACTGTCAGTCTGTGATTCTCGGGTACATATGTCACCTTGACATTATCAGGCCCGTGCAGTCTTCTGTTCTCTGTCTTTACCATTTTGTTCTTCCTCTCTCTCTCTCTTTTCATTTTTTATTCTAGTGATTACTTTCAGAGCTCATCTATGCCTATCATTTCTTGTCCTGCCTTTTTGATAGACTTTTTCTCTTTTTCCACACTATGTACAAAGATGTTTACTTTTATGAAGTCATTATTAACTACTTGATAGCTTGCCCCTTGGAAACACTGAGGTGAATTAATTAAGATATTTCCCGTGAGATTTGGTCAATTTTCCTTTGACTTGAACTATTATAATCGCTACATGTTTCAGCTTCTATTCTGCCCTTATTTGTAGCCCTGAAATAAAGATTTCTCAGAGGATTGGGGAAATTTAGCAATATGTTCTACACTGTCCAAATGAGACTCCCTCAGGGTTGATTCACTGAAGACATGTTAGTGAAGCAGAAAGTAATTTTAATTAAGATCTTCTTAAGCTTATATAGCATGATAAATCTTTGCTTTGAGGAGGAAAATGGACATAGCATTGTAAATAAAAATAAAAATAGATATGGTGAGTTTTTCATCTCTAATAGTAGAGATCTAGGGATTTTTTTGAATTAAAAACAAAGGAAAAATTTCATTAATGTATCAAATAATCACCGATGGATAACAATCTCTTATTCATATTTTCAAAGAATGGGAACACCTACATCAAAACTTGGATACATTTTGATAGTTTCAAATTAGGTGCATTTACCTTATTATTTTCAGAGTTTGGAAATCTCTTGTCACTGGACCCACAGTGTGCAAATAAATGTGTACCACATGTGTGCATTATATACGGATACATTATAAGAATTTGGGGTTCCAAATCTTTCTTTTCCATCACCCCATTGACAATGCTTCTGACTTTTGCTGTTTTAAGAATCTGGAGTCACACAATAGAAGTTGGGGATGAAGATGCTGGCACTGACCTGATGCAAGTGCCATTGTTATGGCATAGATGATGAGCACACCAGGGCACATGGCAGTTCTTGATGTTCCTCCCACGAAGTGCTTCATCAATAATGAAGAATTCTTTGTTGTTTACTTGAAGTTGTCTAATGCAGCCCTGGAACCCCTGAATATGGCCCATATGCTTATGGATCTTTATATTTTCAGGGACATGACCAAGGAACATTGATTCAAAATATACCTGTAAGAGAAGTAACAAAAAATCTTATCATAAGATGCTGTCACATTATGTGGGAAAGATCTAGAATGGTCAGTTCTATAACTGCATGTTTTAAAGTGTTTTTCTTTGTAAAATCCATTGCAATTGTTGGATTATTTTGTCACTTGTACTAGGTGGTAAATAAATTACTTAGAAAAGAGCTTAGAAAAGAGCTCTTGGTTTACAGTTTTTTTTCATTTCATAATATCTAATAAAATTAATGCAAAAAATAGAGGCTAAACAAAACTTGCTGATTGCTTTGAAATGTATTTTTTAATTCAAGTGTTTGCACTTTAATGGGAATATTACCAAATGACAACTGATAAAGAAAATACAGCCATGTTAATTAATTATTGTCAGGGGTTGAATTGTATTCCATCCATATTCATATACTGAAGGTTCTAATCCATGGTGCTTATGTGACCTTATTTGTAAATAGAATCATTGCAAATCTAATTAGTTAAGATGACATCAATATTAGAGTAAGGTAGACTTTAGTTTAATATGATTGATGTCCTTATAAAAAGGGGCAAGTTTGACACAGACAGACCTGCACACAGGGAGAACACCATGTGAACATGAAGGTGGAGAGCTGGATGACACATCTACTAACCAGGAATGTCAAAGATTGCCAACAAACCAGGAGAAGCTTGATGAGAGACGTGGAACAGATTCTTTCTCAAAGTCACTGAAAGGAAACAACCCTGACATCATCTCAATTTTGGACTCTCAGCTTCAAGAATTGTAAGAACTACAAGACATTTCTATTATTTAAGCCATCCAGTTTGTGTCATTTTTATTTTGGAGACCCCAGCAAACTAATGACATTATATATCAAGTATCCTAAAATATGAGCAGAATGTATGGCATTTGCACATGGTACTTGATAATTAGACATGTTATTTTTTTCCTCCAAAAATATGAAATAAATATGCATCAGAAGTTGAACTTTTCTTGCCTTATATTCAGTCCTTTCATTCACTCTTTATTCTAACAATCAGGGCAAGAACAGGCTCTTGTTTCGAGGAGACAAAAAAGAAACCACTCCATTTCAAAGGGACACAACTCATAGACAATTAATACAATAAAGGGGTTCTGTAAAACTGGGTCCTTAATCTACCTTCATTTGGACAACACATCAGAGCTACATCTTACATTGGATTCAGTTCTGAAGTCTGTATGTAAGATGAATATTCTGTGGAATCGAAATCGCCCTTGGAGATATCTTAAGCATCACTTCAGAGACTAATACGCTTTCTCTGAAAAAAAACACATAGCTACATTTTTCCTGCAGCTTTGGAATAGATTGCTGTTTTGTCAGTGTGGTTTCAGATGAAGCTAACATTAAGTGGCCATGTTGTATAAAAATTCTAGGACTCCCTCTGTGTGGTGAATTGCACCATGATGGTACTGATACTGAGAGCACAGAAAATTCTTCTCACATCCGTGCTCATTACAGAGCTTAAATCATTGACCAGATGGTACAATCACTTACATGATTTAAACTTCTACTTGATCTCTCCTTTCCCACCGTCACAAACATATATAACTGAATTCTCATAATTTAGATGTACATAAAATGAAACTCCCCTCAACAGGAATTTATGGGCTTCAATAGAAGTTTTAATGAACTGGATATGAGTCCCTGCTCTTCAGAGTAGATGCAGCTGCAAGTATAGTCTCCGACACCCCTGTCCCCTAAACACACTCTAACACCTCAAACAGATATCTTTAAGTACTGAAAAAAATATAAGTTGGTATTAAAGATACCAATAAAATGTAGAACCATCATTACAAGAATTCAAAAACTAGAATCAAACAACTAAAATAGGAATCTAGGGGGAGGAGACCATGAAAGATGCCTAGAACATCATTGGACATTGATACTAATTTATACTGGTATGATGTAGCTTTGCTTTTAGAGAACAGAAGAATGTTAAATTCTAGGAACATCAAAGCATCTCCATGACCCTTGCCTAGCAGGTAAAAGTCACTCTTGGAACTCTCTTTTTCAACCCTAAAAAAAAAAAAAAAGACAATATTTCTTGAGGAAATTTCTTAATTTCTTTCCCCTGAGTATTTCCTATTTTATTCCCAGAAGGTGTCAATCTTTGGGTGTAGAGGGCAGGAGGGCTTGCCAAAAGTTCCAAGGTGTATTGATAGAGCCCTTACATAGCATTCATTTTTTTTCTCATGTGCTAAGTCAGTTCATATTAAGTACTCAACAAGCTATTAGCAGACCTGCTTATCAGCGAAGCCACCCACTGTTAATATAGTTTGGGGTCTATCGTGAAAAAAAAAAAACAAACTTTTTTTTTTCTTTGCATCAAGTCATAATTTCTTCTCATCAAGGTTCTTTGACATCTTTCTGTATTGATCACATACCTGGAAAAGAAAACTCTCACTGCTTTGACAAGTGTGCTCTTTTAACACAAAACTTATAGAGGATGGGAACTCTCTTCTGCCACAAGTAGGCAGATCCGAGGGAAAATCTATAGAACTGCCTATGATTTATTATACCATTAAAAACATTCAAACAATGAAAGTAGGTGGTTTTTGTATTTCTTTTGATCTGAGGCCCAAGCTTAGTTAGAGTCCTAAATGTCTAAAAAAAAATCAGCTGTTGTTGACTGCACATAGATAACTATTAAAATGGTTGACTTCTTCTATCCCCAGACTCTCAATTATCTGAGAGCTGCCTTTTGCGTGTATAATCATTCCCAAGGAGACAGGTCTTTAAAATAAGTCTTTTCTAATAATTTCTTGTGAATCAGACTATGGAGAATAGAGTCTGACATCAGGATATGATCTTACAAGATAAAAGCACAGAGAACAGACATGGACAATCAAGGAGGAATCATCAAGATAATAAAAATGATAAATGGTGACGGAGAGAAAAGCTCCCTACATCTTCAAGAGTGAACTCTCCTTTCCTCTCAGAATCTCTATAAAAAGAACATAGTTGCTATTTTATAATAACTGCAAATAAAACAAGAATATATGCAAATTTCTATAAGTTTGGAGGGGGGAGTGTTTGCTGGATAACTTGTCCTATTTCTTTTTTTTACTTTCTTTTAGTTTTGACATTGTAGTATTACATATATTATCTTGATTCGATGTTTTGTTTTGCATCATTGATTCTCTTTTCCAAGTTAAATGACCTTTTTTTTGTTGTTGTTAATGAAATATGGACAGGAAACTGCAAATGCACTTTTGGTTAAGATTAATTATCAGAGTATACTTGTATTTGTTTAAGAATATGATAACTTATATTGGAAATTAATTGAATTTTATTTAAGAATCACTATCAAGTTTTAAGTATTAGCTGAATTATATGCAAACAATTCAAAACAAGAAGCATGGAGTTTTGGAAAAAAGGTGGATAAGATGATGGGTAAAGTATTTCAGTAAAAGGATTTACTTAAATAACTTTTCACATTTGGAGACAATGAGTGAAAAGGGATCAAAAAGCAGAAGCAGAATTTATCTAAATCCTCGTCCCTTTGCAGTTAAAAAAAAAAAAAACCCTTTCTCTTGCTTGGCCTTATGTTATGACAATCTGTTGAGAACACAGTCTCTTCTATATTCATTTAAAACCATTTTGGGGGATGGCTTCCACCTTGGTCATGTTCTCTGAAGTCTGTAGCCTTTAAATTAGAAGGTTTCATATTTGTTACAAATGACTTGTTTCATGAAACTCAGTCCTGCTTTTCCTTCATCTCCTATTTATCTTTTAAGCCACTTTTCCGAGTTTTGATGCGTAAGGTCCTTATTATTTTGCGAGATTCAGCATATGTGAAGTTCTCTCTGCATACCATACAAAAGAAATGTCATGTAACTTTTCTTGTTTATCCTCCATATTCAATGGACATGGCATAGAAAACAAGGCAGTGCTTATTTGGAAGTTATTGAATCATGTATGCGATTGATATGAAGTAGCCTGTATAAAGTGATTATAGTTCAAAATTTGGTCAATAATAGTGGTCTTCTGAGGTTCCAAATCTCATAGTTAAATATCTGATTTCTAGGCTTTCCAGAGAATGTTCCCCAAATTATCACTTCTTACCTTATCCAAGAAATAACTGAACTTTAGTGAAATAATCAATGAATTGAGTTGCTACCCTGTGAACAAATTGATCTAGGGAAGTGTAAATGTAAAAGAAGGAAGTAGAATTATATGTCTTAAGATCTTAATGTGAACTGGAGAAATAAGTCATAAAGAAATTATTTACCGGTCAGCAAGAGGGCAGAATAGGAGTCCCAGACTCTCCTTCACCCAAGGACACAGATTAAAAAAAGCATGGATCAGTTCCCTTTGTCAGAAACCTAGAAAATAGTTAAGGGGCTTCTGCATGCCAGGCAAGCATGAAATCAGCTGCACTGAATCCGGAAGGAAAATTCATTCCTTCAGCATAGCATGGTCCAGTTAGGAGAAAACTCTCAGCTCTAGTTTCTCACTAGGGAGGAAAAGAGAAGATTGAAACATGACCTGCATATAGAATCTTTGGTGAGCTCCCCAAGGGATCAAAATCTATTTTGTCTGAATCGAAGCATTGACAGGAAATGGTGCCATACTGGGGATCATCAAGAACAAAGGTGACAGTTTGGACTAGTACACAGTCATTCACCACAGTCCCAATCTGGATGAATCAGTATGGGTGAGTGGGGAAAAAAAAAAATCTCAATTCTCAGCTTCTTCCTGGGGAGGGAAAGAATGGGATCCAGTGTTTTATATTTTTGGGAGACTGCTCATGGTACTAATTTCTGTCCTATATGTCTCAGAGAATCAGTGGGACCCAGTACACTATAGATACCTAGGAGATGTTGATAACAAAAGAGCACTGGAAAAATTGACTGCTTTAGAACACCCAGGGTACAGCATAGAGAGGGCAATGTAGATTGGCAGCCTGTCTCTCAGGGGAATGGGAGAGAAAAGAAGAGTGGAGCATGCATCCAATGTTCTGGCTTAGCAGAGGGATGCCTGAGGGGCTGATTTCTGTGTTGCCCAACTTGGAGAGCTGATGGAACCTATCATACTTTAGAAACCTGAAGGTTACTGAGAAGGAGTTGGCTAACTTGTGTTCTAGAGAACCTGCAGCACCACAGTCAGACACTCAAGGGAGAAAGAGGTTATGAGCTCTTGAAAAAAGAAACTGGTAAATCACTCCAATTGGGAGTTTGCATGTACAAGATCAGAGAAGACACAGCTACAGAAAAAGTCTGAGAGACTCTCAGTCTCTATCCTTGCTGTCTTGTAAACATCTTTCCCTGTATCAAGTCAGTCCAAAAAGACTGGGAGAGGTAGCTATTTCTTTTCTTTTTTTCCAAATGTGTGAATCCTATGGAAGCTACAAAGTACAGGAATAAACAGAAAACTGTATCTCCACCAAAGGAACAAAGTAAATCTCTAGAAACCAATCCTAAATAAACAGAGGTATTTAAACTACCTGACAAAGAATTCAAACTAACAGTCTTAAAAGTGTTCAATGAGTTCAGGAAAATGGTGCACAAATGAGATTATCATCAGAGAAAAAGAACATACAAAAATGAACTAATCAGAAGCTTAAAAAATACCTAAAATTTTAAAAATTCACTGAAGTTCAAGAGCATATTTAATCAAACAGAAGACAGAGAATCAGTTAACCAGAAGCCAGATCATTTGAAATTATCCAGTTAGAGAAATAAGAAGAAAATTTAAAAAGACTGAAGAAAGTCTAAGGAACTTAAAGACAGCATTAGGTGAGTCAATATATACCTTATGGAAGAAGAAACAGAAGAAGGAGAAGGAGGGAGGAGGGGGAGGGGGAAGTGGAGAAAGGGGAGAGAGGGAGGGATGAGGGGGGAGGGGGAAAAGAGGAGCTGGGGAGAAGAAGCAGGGAAAGGTTATTTGAAAAAATAATACCTGAAAACTGAAAATTTGGAAAGGAAATGGGCACTTAGATTCAAGAAGCCCAAAGGACTCCCAGTGGAATAGTCCTAAAGAAGTCCACTCTGAGTCACGTTGTGAGGAGACTGTTGAAAGTCAATGAGAATTTTGGAAGATTTAAGAGAAAAGTGACTTGTCACAAAAATTGAAACTCCCATGAGACTCACAGCATATTTCTCCACACAAACTTCTCAAAACCTTTCACGTTAGAAGGATGATATACTCAAAGTGCTGAAAAAATCTGCCAACCAAGAATGCTGTATCTGGGTAAAATTGTCCTTCAAAGATGAAAAGGACAGAAAGTCTTTTCCAGATAAACAAAAACTGAGGGAGTTCATCACTAGACCTGCTTTACTACATATGCTAAAGGGTGTCCTTCAAGTTGAAATAAAAGGACTCTAGAAAGCATCATTGAAATATATGAAATTATAAAATAGATATGTAGAGAAATACAGAATACTATAAGGAGTCAAAGGCACCTTTTTTTTTTTTTGATAGTCTGTGTCAAAGTCAATGACTCTTAGAATTAAATGGCTTTGCCTCACAATTTTCTCAGTGCTTATGTCTTTATTCTATACACCTCCACATTCTACAGTGAATAGGTACAATTCACAACTGGAAGCCATCTCTAGGTGTCTTTTCTCGGACAAGTTCCTGTCAAGACTTGGAAAGAAGAGGGCATTTATCAAAGAGGCTGGTTCCAAGAGGGTGCTGAGGATGAAACTGATGCTCCTTGGCTTAGAAGGGACTATGTCTAAATAAGCCCATTGTCAGGTGGAAAAATTGTCAGTAAAAATGCACTTAGTACGTCTAACCTACTGCACATCACAGCTTAGCCACACAGTACACCCGAGAGTACTAGTACAATGAATACGTGGCTGACTTGGAGCTACAAGTGTGGCTTCTACTGAATGCTTGTTCCTTGGCATAATTGTAAAGTAAAAAAAAAAAAAAATGTAAGTAGAACCATTGTTAAGTTAGGGAATGTCTGTCTGTACCAGAACCCTGGGACTGGGGTCTGGTCCAGAGAATCCCATCACGCTCAACCTCCACAGAATGACTGAACTGAACTTTGTGGTTAATAAAAGTTAGGAGGTAGCATTCAGAGACTTATCCACTCAGACTCTGGAGCACTTGAGTTGGACTGAACACTAGAAGACCAAGAGCTGTAAAAGCTGTGGTGCCTCCTATAGTAATAGTAGTGAAGAGCAAGTGAGACTTTAGAAAGCCTGCATGCATTCTTTATTTACCTCCTCAAATTATCCAAATTATTTTCTATTTTAATCTGTTTTCATGTGTGTGCCTCGTCTCTGTTTGTGTCTGTACATTATCTGGGACATTCTGATCAGTATTTTATTTAGTCAGCCTCAAGGACAAGTGACTGATGTCAAACAGACTATAAGTCATATTTGAAGTATTCAACAATAAATATATGTTGAGCATTTTAATTCTATTTATTAGTTATGTGATTCATCAATGTCTATGTTAGCACAGCACATGTTATTTATAAGAAAATATGGAGCTTTTAATATTAAAATGATAACTATATAGAGTTAACATAGATGCAATTATAATAAATATTTTATGTTGATTTTTTTTCAAAAAACTCTGAGTGTTTCATATATCTTGGACCACTAGAATATTCCATGTCTTGAGTACAAATATTTAGCTCTCTTGGCATGACTTTTTAAGACATGAAATAACTTTGTTGCTACCTAAACAACTCACTTGAACAGTTTTAACTTTGCTGCAGTAGCAAGTCAAGAGTAGTAGAGTGTAATACAAGAACAAAAAAGGGTAAGGAATCAAAATGACTGGAGTCAAGTCTCTGTCATTATTACTCTAAAATTTTGTACAGGCCTATATTCAGTTTCCTCAGCCATAGAAAAGAGATAATCACTTTTACTTTGCAGTGTTATTGTAAATTTCAAATGAGATAATGCATAGTTTGGCCATAGTTTGGAAAATATAATGTGCTTAGACAAATGTTAGATGTTTGTGTGTGCTTCCTTTGGATGACTATATACACACAACAAGAAACTATACAAAAGAAATGGAAATGAAATGAAATTTCCAATTTGCTAGGGCAGTGCATATTGCAAATTTTAATGTGCACCAAAATTAGCACTTTAGAGCTCTAATTATACAGATTAACTCTCTACATTGACAAATGAACCAAGAATTCTTTATCTTAACTCTGTTGCCAGAAAGTCATACTAAGAAGCGTATAACCAACCACATCATTAAAATGAAAAGAATTCAGCAGATTGCTTGGTCTCTGGAGAGACAGACATCCTCTGTTCTTCCAATTTAGCTTGATTTGATGTTTCTAAGAAAAAATTCCCAGCTAGTGCAAATCTAGAAGGCTGAGAGTGGGCTTGTAAATAAGACTGCAAGAGTACTATCACATACCATGAAAACAATAATACAAGTTTTGTATTATAAGTTTTGTAAGTTGTTGTATCTTGTTACTTTCTCATTCTTTAAATTGTCTTTTTTTAAAATCAAGCACAATATATTAAATTCAAAGTGTGACAGAAAAATCAGTTTATTTTCAAGTTTAACAAAACATTTTAGTAATAGGCAAAGTCAAATATTTAATTATAACCTAAAGAATGAGATAAAATTTCTGGTGCTTTGCTGAGAGTTTTTACAAATAATCTGTTCCACTGAGAAATATGGTTAATGCTTAATAACATAAAGTGAATAGTTATTTGAAATGCTAAGGGCACAATTAGCATTTGAAACTAGATATTTGCAGACCTACCTGAGAGGTATCCGGAACCTCTGTGTCTTTTTTCCATAATGGAGGTTTTCCATATACAGCCATTTCAATCATACAGGCAAACCCAGGACTGTCACCCGGCATCGTGAGGCTAGAAGTAAAACAGAAGAGGCCATTATTGTATGCGTTATCGGCAAGAACAGAGTGACTTCACACATGGATGGTAAGTACTACTTCAATGAGAGAGGTACTTTATGGATCACAATAATCCTGAAATATGGCTTCAACCAACTGTGAACATTTTCGGATAGATAAAAGATATATTTCTTTTTCTAACACTGCATTTCATTTTCCTTCTCTCCTCCTGACTTTAAATCAGGTCTTGAAATGCATTCAGAAAGTTAAATCCCCTACAAAACAAAAAGAGCTTTATGTGTATAAGTAGGTATTGATAAATTTTAAGTGCTAACTGTGGTTGACATATGGTCTTACTCACATAGGAGATTGTTGGACAAGTAACATCAATGTTAAATGATGCTAAACTCCCTAGGTAGAAAATTCTCCTCCTTGGCCTACAGGGGAAATAGAAATGGAATAAGAAATGAAAGGCTGCATACCCCTGAGCAGTGAGATTACACTGTGATACAGTTATCAGAACTCAGAAAGCATGCTGCTAATGTACCAGCTGGTACTGTTTCAGAGATAAAGAAAAGTGTAAGGTTAAGGGAATTTGAAGAATGAATAGCAGAAATGGTCAACACACAATTGAAAATTTATCAGGAGTTTCTAAATTGATGCAATTAGATGAATAGGCACATATAACAAAGTACTTGGCGTTCTTTTAAAACACTTCATTTAGAATTTTAAAAGACAAATCCAATGATATTACCTAGACACTTGCTGTATGTAGCAGTATTAACTAGCACTGTTATGAAGTTTATTCTGTAGAGAAAATAGAAATATATTTACTGATATTATTGATAGCTATTTCTGCATACTGAGAATGTGAATGATATTAATCCTAATTTTGGTATATATTTGTATTTTTTAATTTTGGACAGTGATCATAGATTAAATTTTACTTTGAATTTTGAACAATCTTTCCAGTTTGCCTTGATCCATAGGGATTTTTTTTAGGATGATGAACTTTCAGTGCAAAAACTAGGAACATTCCTAGTAAACCCGAGTCATTGTTCATTCTACTTTTAAAATACACAAAGTCAATTTTATTAAATAATTATTGGTTAACTTATTTCATTATTATTATTTAAATAACTATAGGCTTAGATGAATGGAGAAAGACAAGCCAGAGCCCTTTCCTTCCCTATCTTCCTACAAAATGCCTAGCTCTTGGGTGGCTCCTTCTGTCCTCTTACCTAAAAATACAAATCTTATAGCGTTCCTTCAATAAATCATTCCACTACATTTTTGGCTTCCACTCAAGTTTACCAAAGTCATTTCTAATTCTGATCAGATCACTTCAGAATATTCTTAAATTCTAAGAGTTTCTAGTTTGTGTGAACTGTACTGTAGGGATCTATGAAGCCACTTGCCATCATCGTTGATTATGGTCAGGCTGACATGCATGGATGCTTCCTACTGGAGATGGAAGGAATTAGATTTGGGGAATGCACGTCTTTACTAACAATATGATTTCTCTTGCTTTCATTTAGAGTTTGTTGGAATCTGAACCTGAGCTGCAGTTCTGCAAAGGAAATCACTTTATCTCCTTTCTGTTATTCCTCCTTTTCTCCCTCTGACCCTTCAACAAATAGCTGATTCTATTGTCTGCTTAGTTTATATACTATTTTGGAAATTGCTACTTTAAATCCACAAGAGTTTTCCCCATGGGGAGATTCTTATCACATTCATTTTAATAATAGGTTGTATTTGTTTATAGACTAAATTGTGTTGTAAGAAACAAAGAAATGCTCTATAAACAAATTAGATATTTTGCCATATAAATCATTTGATGAAAAATCTAAGTGCATATCCCTTATGCCTTTCAAGTATTGCTGAGGTCTGCACAGTCTAATGATTTAAAGACTCAAGGATCATATTTTGAGATAATCCATTGACTGCCTGAGTGATCTTAGGCAAACCACTTAACCTTTCTTCCCTGAAGTGTGATTATCCACAGAAGGGAGATAATCATTCTTAGCTCATAAATGGTTAGTGAGAATCACATTATTTAATGTACATAAATCATTCAGTGCTAATATTAAAATCTGAGTTAAAGCAATTATTTGCTGACTAGACAGGGATCTCTAAAGAGATTTTTATGAAAATAAATTACACAGTCAAGTTGAAGTGTTCATCTACTTCTACTAATATTGCTTGTAATGGAGTTCAAAATCAAATACTCAATTTGAATTATTTTAAAAAGTAAAACTTGATGAATGGAACATTTTTTTCCTGGTGTTCTTAATAGTTTTGTTCTTTAGATCTATAATGATCTATAATGATGTTAACCAATATGGCTGAAACATTTGATTTGGAGAGGACATTTTATTTGTAAACTTTTAGAAGGACCTGAACAATCTGTAAATTCTGTGTATTGAAAACCAAGGAAAGGGTTGTAAAAATGTAAATAAATGAAAAGTGGATGTGATAGGTTAATGAGTTAAGTCAAATACTTTATGTAATTTAATGTTATTCAGTTCCTATGCTAGAGTTATAATAATTTACATGGAAGGATATATGTGTGAAATAGAAAAATGAAGACAATTTGAGTCATATGACATAACTTTTATAAAAATATGCAATGAGATGATACCAGAATTGCTTTCACTAATATTTTCAATGGCTATCACTATATGCTGAGACTAAGGATGATGCTTAATTTGTGTTTTTTAATTTGTATTTTATGAATGTTGGACATAGAACATATGTTTTCTATTTTCACCCCGTAAGATGAACATACACTTTTCCAATTGATTTTGAAGTTTATTTATTTATGGTATCTTTCATTTTTAAAATTGGTGCATTGTTATTTTATAAAATAACAGGATTCATTGTGACATATTCATACATACTCATCCATCAATTGGCTTGATTGATTCCCCTGTGCTCCCCCTTTCCCTCCCCTTCTTCCTCTGTCTCTCTTCTATTTTCATGGAAATTGATTTTTTTAAAGGTCTAACGAATTTGGCAACATTTTTCTGTTGTTTCTTGGGTTCTATGCCTTCCCTCCAGGTTCACCTGTCTACCTACCTTCTTCCTAAGTATCTTTAATACCTCTTGTATCTGTGGATAGTAAACCCATCGTCATATCACACTTCATTTCACCCCTGAATAATGGCTTAACTGCTGAGAATTTTAAATTGATTTTTCTTTTAGAACTTTAAATATAGTATCTGATTATATTCTGCTTTCAATTGCTGATGTGAAGCCATTCTCAGTTCAATGTAAAAGCTCTTCTTTTGTTACTTTAACTTTTCTCTCTGGCAGCTTTAAGATCCTGTATGTACTTGGGATAATGAGTGTGGGTGTGGGTTAATCATTGTAAATTCTTCTCTATACTCACATGCACTTTTGATCTTAGAAATTATATATTCTTTCCATTTGTAAAAAATTCTTAACTGAACTTCACATATTGCTTTTTGATATTCCCTGACTTTTCCATTTCATTTTTTGAAGCCATATATGTATCTTCTAAATTTCTTAATCTTGTTTTTGTTCTTTAAAATAAATCACAATTTCTCTGTCCAGTATTATTCTCGGGTATCATTTGTTTCTTTGTCTCCTGACTATAGAGTTTATTCTATTGACTGAGTTTTAAATTTTTCTGATTATTTTTTATTTTCAATATTTTGAATTTTTTCCATAATTTTTGTATTTACTCTCTGCCTATTTGATTTTATAATTTCTTTTTTTAGCTGAAAGTTATTTCTTCATTTGTGCATTCTGGTATCCTACAAATATTTATTTTACAGTTTTTAGTAGACTCATAAGAATTATTTAGAGTGATTCATATTGCATGAGTTTTTTTGCTTTGTTCCATTCTCTATATCATGTGTTCTGATACTGAGATGCTCAGGCTCATTTTGAATGGGAATGTTTTTGGTTTTTTTCTCTTTTCCTTATTTCCACTCTTGTTCTCTTGTGCTCTTCTGCTATGCCCAACCCTGCCTGCATCATGAGAGTCCTGTCAGATCCTCTCACATCTAGACCAGAATCTTGGATAATGGATACTGGTAATTCTGTCCTATAATGATATTGAAGGTGTCTACAGGTCCATGCACACAGCTGACAGAGGATTCTTGGTGAAGTTCAGGACCTACTACTTGTCTGCAGTCTGTGGTCTTTCTGGGCTGGAAGCTAAGTCAGAATCTCAGATTGCAGTCTTTCTCCGTATGTTTATCCCCCTGCTTGCCCTTCCCTCCTTCCTTCCTTCCTTCCTTCCTTCCTTCCTTCCTTCCTTCCTTCCTTCCTTCCTTCCTTCCTTCCTTCCTTCCTTCCTCCTTTTCTACTTATCATCTCTGTATCTATATAAAATATTTCACAATCATTCTTGAGCAAGTAGTTTCTTTTCCCCGATGCACACTGAGCTTCCCTTTCTAGGATTATATCTTGGCAAGCCAGCAGTTTTAGCTCATTTACTATTTTTCATTTTCCTCTTTTTCTTGTCTAGGGGAGATGTTTATCCTGTTTTGAACTTGGCTTTATGTTTTTAGTTGTCTATTTTTAGAAATTTTCTCTATCACAGCTATGTGTTAGACATTGAGGAGGGTGTCAAAGTGTGAAGTTACGAAGTCATCTTGACTAGACATCCCACTCATTTTGATATTAAGAAAAAAACTTGTACATCTATATTGAATTGCTGTGATATACCCCCTAAAGATATACAAATGATATGTATGAATAAAGATTTTTAATCTGGTAGAAAATGTGTTTTGTGAAAAATCTGAATGCCATGCTTGAATATTGTGTTGTTTTAAATATTATGCTATTATAAAATTTAATATCATTACATTTTTTAAATCTGAAAAAGACATCAGAATTTTGTACCATAATATTGTTCAATAAAGGGAACAATTTTTTGATTATTAAAAAAACCCCCTAAGTTCTTGCCTTTGAAGGGCCATGTAAACAGAAAGTTATCTTTGATCTGTGAGGAGAAGAATGATGAAAAATTAAACAAGCCATTTGGAAGTACCTTTCTGATTTTATAGGCTTAAATTTGAAAGGCCTAATTTCTTTGGCTTTTCCATCTCAGGTTTGTTGTGTGCTAAA